CTCGGAGAACCGGGCTGGGGCGGAGGAGGGCTGACCGGGATGCGGGGGCCGCGCTACCCCGGAGAGGGTCTCCAGGCAGGGCAGCCGCTGCGGCTCCGCGTCGCCATCCGCAGAGGCAGAACAGTGAGCGACGTACATTTCCTCAAAGGAAGGGAAAATTTCCCATTTTCTCTTACATGATTTGTCTCCTGTATTCATCGAATCTGCTAATTGTCTAATACTCTGTATCGTGTGTATACGTTATAAACATCTTGATAAGTTAAGTTAGATTATGCTGTGAGTAAAATAACTTTCAACAATTGACCAAGGTATTACAAATACGCGCCGGTGACTCCAGTTAGCAAGTGTTAAAGCTCAGGTGTTTTCTCCTCCTCCCACCTGTATCCTTTTACCTCTCTTTCAACAGGCGTCAGCTTGACTTTGGACCTTTAACGCCTAAATAATGATGGATTAGAAGAATTAATTTACCTAATAATTGTTGAGTATCGTTCACGAGATAAGCTCTTATGGACTGCTCGAAGTCCAGGCGCGGTGAAGATGCTGGTACTGAACACACTGCTCCTCTCCCTGCATACCCTCACACAGCTCCGGTTTCTTTGCAGGAGACTCTTAGAATCCGTTCAAAGTCAAGTGTTGGCTTGGTTCTTCTCTTTTGTTCCTTGTTTGTTTGTTTGTTTGTTTTCTCCAGTAACTAGAAGAGACTTGGGAAATGGGGCAGCATAAAAAGTAACTTGTGCCAGGGTTCTTAACCTGGGGAGTCCAGAGACAGTATTAAAAAAGTCTGTGAACTTGGGTGGAAAAGGTTCCCCCGCTCATCTCTAAATGCAGTGTAGCTTTTCCTTTAAGACGCTTGCAGGCAGAAGCCTCAGTAGTAGCCTTAGTAGGGTAGCTCTGATTTGCCGCCAGGAGAAATCACAGAGATTTCTATGTCATGTTACTCACTGCATATATCTCAAAATCGTCACATTCAACACTGCTTCAAAATTAACGGCAATGATTAGGTGACTACTTGTTATTTATGACACATTGTTTCTCTTTTAACTAAAAATGGAGCTAATGATCTATCTCGTAGGATTCTTGTAAGGATTAAGTATCACGATAAATGCAAAGTGCTTAGCAAAAAGAGTGGTATGTGAGCGACATAAACGTCACTATTGTACTGTTGTGAAAGTTGGATGTAACTATTAGCAAGGAAGGTGTTAGACTTCTGCTCTATTACCATATACTATTTTTTAAAGTATTTTTATGATTTTTCTTTTACTAACCAAAGTCTACCTGTTTATATTAGGATACACCCTTATGTTGTAGTGCTCTGTAGGTTCTGACAAGTGTAATGACATGTAGCCACCATTACAGCATCATATAGAATAGTTTCACTGCCCTAAAAATCCTCTGTACTCCACCTGTTCATCTCACCTCCTTCCTCCACATAACCACTGATCTTTTTACTGTCAATGTAGTTTTGCCTTTTCCAGAATGTCGTATAGTTGGAATCATACCTTTTACACTGTCTTCTTTCACTTAGTGATATGCAATTCAGGGTCCTCTTTTTTGCTTTTTACATGTAGGCCTATGACCCATTTTGAGTTAATTTTTATGGTCTGTGTCTAGATTTATTTATTTATTTTAGCCTGTGGATGTCCAGTTGTCCAGCACCAGTTTTGAGAAGACTATCCTTTAGCTCCAGTGAATTGTCTTTTTCCTTTGTCAAAGATCAGTTGACAACATTTGTGTGGGTCTATTTCTGGGCTTCCTATTCTGTCCTATTGACTTATTTGTTCTTTTGCCAGGACCACATTGTCTTGATTACTGTGGTTTTATACTAAGTGTTGAATTCAGGTAGTGTCAGTCTTCCAACTTTGTTATTCATTATTGTGTTGACTCTTCTGGGCCTTTTTGCGTTTCCATGTGAACTTTAAAATCAGTTTGTTGAGATCTGCAAAATAACTTGCTGGGATTCTGATTTTAGGACTGCGCTGAATCCGTAGATCAAGTAGGGAAGAACTGACATCTTAACAATATTGAGTAGTCCTACTGATGAACATGGAATATCTGTCCATTTATTTAGATCTTCTTTGATACCTTTCATTAGAGTCCTAAAGGCATAGTTTTAAAATGCTTTGATGGTTGTATTTCAGTACAACTATGTTCCTTTGTAATCCTATATGCTTCATTTTATACACTTGAAAACGTATCAGAAGAGATCTTAAGCATCACCAGCGCACCAAAGGGTTCATGACCAATATAATAAATAAATAAACAAATAAATGATAATTCTGCTCTAGGCTGTCATTTAGTGAACAATTTGTATTCTGGAAATAGGGGACTGAGTGGGTAAGGATCGTTTCTGGTGTGGTCTTGCCAGTTTAACATTTGGATTGTTTGTTTTTTCCCCCTGGAAGAACCAGCTTACCAATTGAATTGGCATCACACATTTTGATGACTTTCGTATTTTCAGGAATTTCAGGAAGAACAGTTGCCCTCACACTTCCCTTCAGCTGAGTTAGAATATTCTCCCTGCTGACGAGCTAATTCTTGGAATTAGATTATTGGAGTTACTTGCCTCTGATATGACGCTGGAAAACAGGTAGCAACAAGAAAGGCAGCCTCAGGTTCCTCATCTAGAAAATGAGGAAAATAGTAGCTTTTTTGCAGAGCTGGTGTAAGAATTAACTAGGATAATATATGTAAATTTCTTAGTGCATTGCCTACACCCAGTAGGTGATTTAAACATGCTAATTGTTATTAAAGAGAAAGGAAATATGTCCAAACCAATGATCACTGCTTCATAAGTGACCAGAGATTTTGTGTCCGTTTCTCTCTTGGTTAGGAGACGCAAGAAGAGGAAGGAGTCTAGAATTGAAATGCAGGCATACTGTTTCTACCTCTTCTTTCATAGACACAAAATTTAAGCACTGATGGGATAGTATAGCTGTGGGTGCTAATTAGCTCTTCGCCAAGTTTTTAATGAAAGGTTGCCTAAATCTATTAAAAGTGACACCAAAAGTAAAAATACTTGTTTATTTCTATCCTTTAAATTATGAGTCATTTATACTGACTTGAAGGAAATGAATATATCTTCTCTAGGTTTGTTAAAAGAAACAAAACTCATTGATGATTTCCTGTTTTTGTCCTAGAGAGAAATTCCATCATCTGATCAATCTTCCTGAAGCAAACTAAGGCCAGAGGGAGAGTTATCAACCTTTGAAGACAAAGACTAAACTGAAATTTAAAATGTTCTTCAGGGAAGGATGGAGCCTGACTTACACTTTTGTCATAATTTGTTCCCTGAGGCTGTCCACCAGTCAGAACTGCCGCACCGAGAGTCTAGAAGACGTTGTCATTGACATCCAGCCCTCCCTTTCTAAAGGCATCAGAGGCAATGAGCCCATACGTACATTAACTCAAGAAGACTGCATTAATTCTTGCTGCTCAACAAAAAACATATCAGGTAAATAATAGTGCCTTGGCAACTCTTTATTCCCTATGTTTTGTGACAAAAGTAGCTGGTTGATGTGGCCGAAGAATTTGTACATAGTGATTCTCGATGGGGTAGAAAGGTGAGTGTCAGAATCACTGAGGAATGTTCCACAGTGTGCCCTCCCCTCCTGTAGGTTGAACCAAAGTTACTGATGAGTGTGTGTGTGTATCACTCAGTCTGGGTAGAAAAAGGATTGTCATGTTCTGTAGGCATCTGAAATACTGAAAACAAAAATCCTATTTAAATGCTTAGCTACTGGGGGTAGGGTATAGCTCAGTTATAGAACACACACTTAGCACACACAAGGTCCTGGGTTCAATCCCCAGTGCCTCCATTAAAAATAAATAAACCGAATTCCCTCCCCCTGAAAAAAGAAAGGACTCTGGAGGAAAAAACAAAAAACACCCCCCCACCGCCAAAATGTAAAAAACAAAACAAAAAATGACACCATGTATTTGCTGTCAAGAGGAAAAAACCCTTCCACGGTCTTCTCAAATTGAGCAGTGTTCTTTTGGGCACTATGGAAGTAGTTTATGGAAATCGTAGCAATTTCATTTAAATTTCTAGTTTTTCTTTCAATGTTGATATCAACATTTATGTGAAATAGAAACATCACCTGCAGATAGGACTGAACACCACGTGAGGGTTTCCTGGCATCGTGGGAAACCTTGCATCTATCTTCAGTTCCAGCGGCGGGTGTTCAGTAAGCAATGCGGGTTTGTGGCTTTAGTCTACAAGCAAAAGTACCGTTATTATTACTGCTTTCCTGTAAGCAGAGGTAATTGTGGGTCTCAGGTAATGGACCTCAGACTTTTTCCTCTTTTACCAAGCATTGGTTTTTAACTGTTTAGGGCCCAAAAAGGCACTTTGATAATTTGCCTGTAACCACAGACTCTAGAAAAACACCCATTAGTACAAAGCACACAAAAGTTCGCATACAACTTGGGGACCTTATCAACTATTCCTTTGATCTAAATGTCCCCAAAACTGGTATGGCAGAATTCTCACATTGCTGAGAAAGGAAAGGTAGAGTCACTAGAGTAACTTTCTTGTTCCCCGTACTGGAGGGATGACAAGATAAAACCCCTTTACGGGAGCGAACTCAGTCTTATTTCCCATCAGGGGAGTCAGAGTTGATCCCTAACCATTGCCTGATTGCAGGAAGTGATGCTGTGGGAGGCCGACTATGCGGTTGCTTTTCCAGCTTTATTGAGAGATATTTGGCATATAACATTGTGTACGTTTTAGATACACAAGGTGGTTATTTGATACATGTATGTATTGTGAAATGATTGCCGTAGTAAGGTTAGTTAACACATAGTTACCTTGTGTGTGTGTGTGTGTGTGTGTGTGTGTGTACCCACATACCTACCAGAAAGACCACACGTTCTTAATAATTAGCCTATATGCCTCTTCACCATCAACCTGACCCAGGGCATACGATCCCTCCAGGGTCACAGAATGTGAGACCACAACAGATTGCGGCCAAAGCCAACTAGCTCTAAGCCATGATGAACAGGGAGAATGATTTCTATTAGAAAGAAATATTTCTCTGGAAATATTGAAAGAATACACTTCTATTGAAGAGGAAAAGAAGGCAGAAATCAAAGTTCAGAGAGAAAAGTGAGGAAAGAAGGAAAATAGAAAAGCAAAAATGATAAGAGCTGAAATTCAAAGAAAGAACCAGAAGAAGAATGGCACCGATAAAAGGAAAAAACAGACTTGGCATTCCTTACACTACTCAGGTCTGTTGTGGAAGGAGGCATGATCTATATGGGGCTAAATTTACTGACTCCCCCCAAGAAAGCCAGACTCATGGCTTCGTAGGTGTCTACAACGCCTTCAGGAGGTAAGAGATATGTGAAACCATTAGGGTTAGATCCACTTCTCAAGGTCCGACTCAGTAATGATCTATGTAAAGACTGCTGAGTTAGTATTTCTATGTATGTTTTGATAAATATTTTAGCAAATGCAAGGCTTTGTTCTAGAGAATTAAATGTGTGATTAAAAACATGTTTTGTCAAAATTACCTTAGTTTAGATGGTTAAGCCCAAGGTCTTTAAAAATTGCTTTCAGTGACTAAACTAAGGAAAAGGAAATGGCCGGCAGGCAGTGAACACAGAATAAATGAAGTTCTTCCTGCTCGCTAAACTCTTTCGAAAACTCCATTTCAAAATAATGCTTATGAAACCTTTTGTTACAGGAGACAGAGCGTGTAACCTGATGATCTTTGACACTCGAAAAACAACTGGACAACCCAACTGCTACCTGTTTTTCTGTCCCAGTGAGGAAGCCTGTCCCCTGAAACCAGCAAAGGGACTTAGGAGTTGCAGGATAATTAGAGGTAATCAAAACATCGTTTTTTGTCTTTCGGGATTGGAATTATTTAAGGATATGGTTCATGTGAACAGTTTTCTATAAGAGTCTAAGAAAAACTACTGGAAAGGGTCACAGGTCTAGAGGCATAGCAGAAAAATCTCATGATTTAAAATTCAATTGATGCAACCAAATATCTTTTTTTTTTCCCCAGTGAAAGACCTACGAATGATAGTGTTTTGTTTTGTTTTTTGTTTTTACCTTCATAAGATACAAGGCACACAGACCTTTCATGGAAACATTTTGAAACACCTCTTAAGAACCATGTCAGCATCTCTGGAATAAGAATACAGGTCTCCAGGGTGACCGTTTTGAAAGGGTCCCATGCGAACACAACATATGAAATCCCAGTATGTTTGTCATTAGGTTTCATTTGTTGTGTCATCATGTTATCTGAAATCAAACTCCCTGGATTTTATTATCCAGCCCTGAAGGGATGCTCACTTAAGAAGTATTAATTGAGAATCTACCATGTGCCATATTCTGTGCAAGGCATTGGAAATACAGTCTCCACACTTTGCTCAGAATAGAGAAAATAAATAACTAAAAACAATATAATTATTTGGATATGTCTTGGTGAGATTCGAGCTTGTTAATTCTCAGGATGAAGTGCTTTCAAGTATCAAGTTTGCTTTTATTTAAATTTGAGGAAGTTTTTGTCCTTTTCCCCTTAGGTATTAATGGCATTCTCTTTGTCCATTTACTCAATAAGCAACAAATTTTATTTAGCATCCCCTGTGCGCCCAGCGTCTTTTACGCCCAGCATCTTTTACGCCCTAAGAATACAAAGATACGACACTAAGCATGAAAAACAAGGTTCTCACTGCTGGAGCTAATGTTTTAGGAGATAGAGAGACAATAACTTTAATAAATACATAATCAAGAAAAATAGAGTCAAGTGCTGTGCAGATAATTGAGCTAAGATGATACGATAGTCGCTGAGTGGACTCTCTCGATCAGGTGATCAGAGGAAGTACCTGTGAAGAAGTAACCCCTAAGCTGAGATCTGAGCAGTAAGGGGCCAGATGTGAGAAGATGGTGGAAAGACCATCCAGGCAGAGGAAACAGCCTGTTCCAAGACCTTCAGGCAGAATGGTTTTGGAGTGTTTGTTTAAGCCATATAAAGAGTGATATGCAAGAAGTAAGGAAAGTGGCAAGATCACATCAAGCTTTGTACGGAGTATGGAGTTTTTATTTTAGGTGTGTGATGGGGAAGCTGTAGGAAGTTTTCCAAGCAGGCACATGATGTTTTAAAGGTGATTTCTTAAAGCTCACCAGGACTGCTTTCTTGGGAACAGACGATGATGCCGCAGCCGAAGGACAAGTGGAAGGACTGGGTAGGAGGCAGGGATGAGATCCAAGTGAAGGGCGGTGGCCTTAGGGACCAGGCAGGTGGTGGAGAAAATGGAGGGAAGTAATCCCACCAGCTGTTTTAGAGGTGGCATTGACAGGGCTGGCTGCTGGCATGGGTGCAGGGAACAAGGGAAAAAGAGGAGTGAAGCTGAGTCCTTGTTCATCCTTGAGCATCTAGATGGATGCTCCTGAGCTGGTGCAGGTTGGAGGAGAAGCGGTATTAGGGTGGGAAGGGAGAGTATGATTGGGGTTCTCTGGGGAATAATGCTGCCCAGGGTGCCCGGACACTGACTCCGCTTTGCCCCCTGGGTGAGGCTGTGTCTGAGTTTTGTTCATGAACCAGGAAAACCTGATGTACCGAACATTTCCTTAAACAGGAGTATAAAGCACAGATTGCTTGTGTTAGTTCTCCCTAAATAGTGATCCAAGCCCAAGTATGGAAAGACTGGCAGATCCAGTACCCAGTTTCCGTGTTGCAAGACGGCAAAGTGCTGGAGATGGGTGATGGTGATGGTTGCACAACCATGTGACTCTGCTTAATGCCCTGAACTGTACTCTTAAAATGGGTTAAAGTGGTAAAGTGTGTGGAATATACTTTACCACAATTTTTAAAAATAATGTTAAAAAAAAGACAGTGGCACTGAACAAATTAGGCTTCTGAGAACACCCAGGATCTCGTTTGGAAAGTGTCTTATTCTCCTCCTGCGCTGCCTGGGCTTCACACTGGCTGGTGCGGCTGCCCTGACTGTGTGGCTCTTTCACATCTGTGTATCATCTTGGCTAAAAGCATTAGGACCTGCAGTGCCGTGTGGATGTGGCTTCTTGCTGTTCTTTTTTTTTTTTTGTCACCTGGAATATTACAGAGCCTATTTATACACCCGGTGGGGGCGGGGAGGGTGGTATCCAGCAGAAAATGGACATGCCGTTCTGAGTTTCCAAAGAGGTCAGGGCTCATGACACCATTTGGAACTTTTGTTCTCCTTTAAGAGCTCCCATCAGGTGGAATTTTGACCTTCACATTCTGCCTCTATTATCCCTTCTCACTGCCTCTTCTTTCTCTCTTGTTCTTTCTTCCACTGTCAGTGTGTATGCCCTTTGTCTATCATTTATTTCACAATTAAAGCAGAATATTAATTACAGGTCATTTAATCCAGTAATTCTACATCCATAAAATCTATGCTAGAGAAGTTCCTGATGTGAAGCTGCTTATTGTATAATTAGTTAAAAAAGTGAGAACTAGAAGCAGCATAAATGTACAACTGCCAGAGAATGGCTGGGTATAAAGCCTGATGGAGGGAATACGATGCAGATATTAAAAAATAAGTTTGAGGTGTAGAAATAAACAAAATTTCACCTAAATTCCAGGTGGAAAACACCTAATTATTTTTCAATTACATAAAAAAGTAAAAATGTAACTTTCAGGTGTACAGAAATGTTAATAGTTGCTGAGACATAGTGACAGAAATTATAGTTGACTTTGTTTTATAATTTTCTTAATACTTCTCTAATATTGCTTTAATAATGCATGTATGAAAGAAGGAGTGGGTGGTAAAGATTCTCTCCAATGGGAACGGGAGAAAAGGGAACTTGGCATGCCCATAAACTTTTTAAGGGCAAGTGTGAAGCTAATGAGTGAAGTGGAATAAAAGTCGAACAGTTCTTGTGTCAGCCACAAGGGGGCACCATCAGCCCAGAGCAGATTGATATCCAGGGGCAAAGTGGAACCGACCCTGGACTTCGTGTTTATACCTACAGATGTTTACAGCTTGTTTGGTAACTTTATTGATGAATCTGCTCATGTTGATAGATTGGGATTACCCCATAAAGTGTCTGCCTCCTGCTTTGAGTGAAATTCTATGGATACCTGTTCAGTGGTTTGTTTCCTGGTGAACTCTATTTCCTATAGCTGATTGACCAATATTCATAGACTGAACGTTGGAGAGATGATAGTGTGCTTGGTTCCTTCTGTAAAACCACTGCGGTTTGGCATTATTTAATTTTTGTTTGTTTGTTTTTGTAGCTTGGTGGGCTGTCATTTCCACCAAGGACCAGAATAGGGAGATTCAGAAATAGAATAAATTGAAAGTCTGTTTGTACAGCTGGTTTCCAAGTAATAGTCCTAGTGAAGTCACTTGAAAAATGAAACTCGAAAGAAGGGTTGAGGGCACAGGACTGTTTCCAGTTCCTTCTGTGGGTCTTCTGCACGTGACTGAGAGAAAACACCACACATCAATGACAAACATCAGCAGGCAAGGTGAATGGAGCAGGTGTGGCGGGTCCCCATGTGGTCCTAGGCTCTTTGCCAGTAGCTGAAATCTTATCACGACATGGGACTAGCCCTAGCTTTGCTTTACGTACAAGCTTGCCTTCTTGAGGAAGAAAACAGCTGTTTTGGTCATTCTTGTCAATGGCTTTATTTTAAGTTCTGAGTTCTCACACATCACAGAGCATTTACTTAAATCCTCTTTAAAAAACAAACTTTAAAATGAAAGACGTTGAGTCCTGCTCTTTTGAAAAATATCTGACATCATCTAAAAATACAGATGCTGCTTTTCTCGTGGTGATGCCACGTCTACGAATGTGATGTCACCTGCAGAAGAAACTCCTTTTTTTCAGCACTGTTGGATGAATTTCAGGCATCCAAATTCTGTTTTAGAGTGGAGTGTCCCAGAGCAAGTGTCCACAAACATTTTCTGTCAAGGGTCAAATAATAAGTATTTTTGGCTTTTCAGGCAAGCCTTTCAGGCTTTGTGGGCCACATGCACTCTGTCTTACCTACACACACACACACACCCCACACCCACACCCCACATCTTCTTTATCCATTTATAGCCCTTATAGTAGAGACAGCCACAGACAATATGTAAACCAATGGGCATGCCCATATGCCAATCAGATTTTATTTATGGACATTGAAATGTGAATTTCATATAATTTTCATGTTACAAAATATTATCCTTTTTGTTTTTTTCCCCAATCATTTAAGAATATAGAAACTACTCTTAGCTTGCAAACCATACAAAGCAGGGTGGCAGGCCAGGTTTGGCCCTCAGCCCATAATTTGCTGACCTGTGTCCTAGATAGATTAATAAGTGATAGTTCTAAAGGACCTGTTAGTGGTATGAAGCTTAGGGGGTAGTCAAAGATATTACAAATCTGAAGTTGCCTCTGGATCTATTCATTAGCAGAGGGGAGAGTGAGGCGTCGAGGAGTGTTGAAATAGTATTGCAGCAAAGTGTGTTACCACTCAGTGTTATAGCTCAGTTGTGACAGCAGCCTGGATCCGGGCGAGAGACCAAGGAGCACTCGGAAGGTTGGAGAACTCAGGCTTATCACACCAGTGGGCCCAGAGGAGTTAACACTCCAAGCTCTGGACCCTGTCTGTAGGTTTACACAGGCTTTTATAGGCTACCAGTCTAGACTTTGCCACATTTTGTAACACCATATGCAAATAAGGTATAACAAAGGTGACTAATTAAGAACAAGCTTTCTAGAAATGTACCAATCAGGAGTGAAGGAAATGGACCAATCAGGAGTGAGCTCAGGGAGCCAATAGATTCTTAGGGATAAGTTCTGCTTTCCTAGAAGTAAGCCATTAAGTTTAAAAAGTGAGATAATGCCACTGGGCCAAGGAACCGAATGGTGCTGGCAGGAGGTTAGTGGCCCTGCCTGGGGGTCCTGCCGTCTTTTTCATGGAGCTTCCGACCTCAATAGAAAAGGGAAAAGAGAACAGGGGAGAATGAACCAGGAAATGCTAGGAAATTCCTTTGCTTCCTTGCTTGTGTTTTCTGCAGGTCTATTCTAAGTGAAATGATGAGCCGAGTAGCAGAGTAATACAGAGCAATTCAAATGACCTTTCCCTGCCCTGGATTGCTTTAACGAGCCTTTTCGGTTTGAGCTGTGATGAATGGCACGTGTGACAAAGAGCAAAATTGTCAACTTTCTCACGCAGGAGGAGGATCCGAAGCTGGTTCCTCCTCAGCAGGAGTTGGGACAGTGTGATTTTCTGCCCTTTATGTCAGCCATGTGGCTGTTGTGATTTCAAATATTGGTCCCACGGTCCTCAGAACCTAAGATACTGGCTCTAAAATCATAATCTTTAGGGGAGGATATAGTTCAGTGGTAGAGTGTGTGCTTAGCATGCACGAGGTCCTGGGTTCAAACCTCAGTACCTCCATTAAAATAAATAAGTAAATAAATAAACCTAATTTTCTCCCCCCTCAAACAAACAAAAAAACAAAAAATAAAATATATATATATATTTTAAAACCTGAAATATTATGCTGTACACCAGAAATTGACACATTATAACTGAGTATACTTAAATTGAAAAACAAACAAATAAATAAAGGGTCAAAAGGAAATCTCTCTGATTGCCTATCTCCCCTGAGTGCAGTAGTGAAACCGGTTTCTTCATTGAAAAATGTCATCACCTTTTTGCTGCTGTCTTGGCCTCCGTACCCTGAGAGGGGGAGACCAGGCCTTGCAGCCCTCTCCTCCTCCTCCTTGTGGAAGGCCAGTCACTGGGGCTCAGCTTCCTCTCTTCCTTGTCCTGGGGCCTCCCCACCCCCACCCCACCCCGCCCCTACTGGGCTATCTCCCCTGGAGATTGCTTGCTTCCCGGCTGTCACCGCAGTCCCAGCCGGCACAGCCCTCAGGAGCCCGTGCCTCACACCGACGTTCTCTCTGCCGCCCTCTTCCGGGCACGTCCCCGGGGCCCGGCTTCCTTCCCTGGCCTTGGCCTCTTAAGCATCCCCAGCTTCCTAAACCTCTTGCTGGCCGTGCTGGGCAGCTCTTAGCGTCTCTGCTCCCCCCTCCCACCTCTTCCTTAATTTGCCGGCTCCTCCTCCACACATTTGTCTTCTCCCCTGTCCCATCACTCCAGAAATAAACCACAGCGTCTGGGGAAGAGGCAGAGTCATCAGGTTCTGACTTAGCCACGTGTAGTTTTCCATTTTGCCCAACGAAATGCCAAGTAGCAACAGTTGGAACAAGCTGATACATTGGTCTTTTTTTAACCTACCTTGGCAAGGACGTATGGAAGTCTTCCTTTTATTTTCTTTCCATTTTCAGATTTTCCATCTTTGGCCAGAACTGATTTGCCAAGCCCACGGGTAACGCAAGAAGATTCTCTCTTCCGTGGAGGGTCTCTGCACACCATCACTCCCATGCCCCCTCCGCTGGCAGGTTATTCAAAGCCCACTATCTTATGGAGAGATTCAGTTTCTCAGAAGTTTGGCTCCTCGGGTCACGTGGAGAAACTACTCAAGATTGATCAAGCGAGTCCACAGATGCCTGTTTATAAAGAAAAAGGCCATTCTCAGAATTCACTGTCTTCTTCAGAACAAAAATTAGCTCCCCTTCTGCCTGGCAATGTGACAACCTTCCCCACCACCGTGGCGGCCGCTTCTCTGCACACCATCCCGGCCGCCCGGAAGCCCACGTTTCTGCCCGCCCCCAGTGCTGTAGTGATGCCTTCGGGGCCTGGGGTGGCCACCTCCGCTCCACCTGCAGCCAAGGTCACTTCCCCACCTCCCACAGCTCCCGTTTCTGCAGTTTTGACCCGTGCTGTGCTTCCACCCCAAGCTAATGGGGCTGCCACAGCAGCTCTGACTTCCCTCTTTGGGGCATCGACAGACTGGAAAGGCCCAGCAGAAACGGTGCCCTTTAGAGACATTTCCAACCTGACCTTGAACACAGAGGGTGCCCGTGAACCTTCTCCCTTTCCTTTGTCAGATGCAGATTCTTCCGCAGCAAATACAACAGCTTCCCAGGAAGACGGGAAGACCGGTCCAGGCGGCGCCCCCCAGAGCAGTGTTCCAGAAAGTCATCACGGCCTTCCGTTTGAAAAGTGGCTTCTCATTGGGACCCTGCTCTTTGGGATTCTGTTCCTCGCGATAGGCCTTGTCCTCTTGGGCAGAATGCTCTCGGAATCCCTCCACAGGAAACGTTACTCCAGGCTTGATTATTTGATCAATGGAATCTATGTTGACATCTAAGGAGGAAATCGGAGATCTCTTAAACTCATGTGGCTGCTAGTAGCCCAAATGCAGGGAGTTTCTGCTCACTTGCTCATCTTGGATTTTTTTAAAGTATTTTGAAGGTAGGCAGATGCCTCCTACCACTTTCTTTTTGCTTTTTCTTTGGTGGAGGGCAATTAGGTGATTTGAGCAATCTGTCTCTAAAATACTAGCTGAAAACAAAGCTCTACCTAAAGTAATAAAGAATAATTGCCACATAAATTGGAAAATGACTGGCTTTTTACAAGGCAAAATGGTTAGGACTCCTAGGCTCCAATGCATTAATATTTCTGGTGCCAGATAAAGTCGACTGTTTATGATATTAGTTCTAATGGATTTACTTTCCTTTTTATTTGAATTCCAGTAAAACTTATTCCAGATGTATTTCCTTCCAATTAAATATTTGAATAAATCTCTTGTTACTTAGTAATGTTCTTGTAAGTGACGTGTCCAGCTGGATAACTTTAAATTTATTACCATCAGCAAAATGATTAAATGATGAAAGTATGCGTTCTAAGCTAAAATGACAAATTCCTCCCTTTTCCCATCAGTGAGCAAAGACGTTCCTTTGGGAGAATTCTAGCCGAATGTTAATCTGCATGGAGACAGTGATAAGTGAATTCTAATAAATGGCCAAATCTACTTTGGGTCTGTTCTAGTTAACTATTTTTTTCAAAAAAAAAGGTGGTTTTTTTTTTAGAGTTAAGTAAGTTTAAAATGTAACTTATTTATAAATCATCATCTAGTCTTGACCAATAGTCAATTTTGGCTTTATTTGGAATAACATTGGAAATAATGGACAGCACTTAAAAATTACAGGCAGACCTCATTTCATTGGGCTTCATTTTATCAGATTTTGTAGATATTGTATCCTTTACAAATTGAAGGTTTATGGCAACCTTCCTCAAGCAAGTCTGTCAGCACCATTTTTCCAACAGC